CAAAATCTGTTTTTCAATGTAAGCTGTCACTGTTTTAGCTCTATAGTACTATAAGCTAAAAAAAGGTTAAAGCMCTTGTGAACTCTTTTTAAACTTTTCAATAATGAATAAGAACTCTTTAAAAATAAGTTTAAACATTTCTTAGAAAATGCATATTTTCAACAATACAAAACCTTTAAAAATAAATCTAACAAGGAATTATTAGCCTAAATGTATTCCTTGTCTTTTTGCATTATTAAAGCCAAATGAAAACAGGGCTTACTGCTACAGGTCTGGGATGTGCAGTAGAAGTTGGAAACTCAGAGAGGTCTTCAGGTCCTTCTGCCTCACTGTCATCACTGGAGATGTTTCCGTGGACCAGAGGGGAGGAGGCTTTGACATTAGCTTCATCTTGTCGGTGCTTCTCATCCTCTGAGCTGTACTCAGGCACAGGTCGACTGCAAAACAAAGTCAACTTGTTTAAAACTATACATGAACCTTTGGTCAGCTTTTATATTATATATTATACACACTTTAACACCACCTCTCTCTTTTGATTCTTTCCTCTTTCCTACCAGAAGCATTTTCAGAGGCAGGTATACACATCTTCAGGTAARGGTACTAATAAACTTAAGYGTGAATGRTTAAGGCTGGTTTATACTTCAAGGTACAGGTTTTGTGACAAAGAGAGTGACAATAATTTTTGTATCTTCTGTCTGTTATCCCCAGTGACAGCCATCATGTGCATMGCCTCCAGTCAGAACTCTGCGCTGTGGCCCATGCAACTGAAGTTTATTTCTTTCCATCTCCACCGTTAACAAGAAACAAAAAGTTCTTCCACCTCAGACACTTCACCCAACCCAACCAGGGTTCTACACTAACGTTTTGCACTGGTTGCAGTGATGCGCCAACATTTTTTCTTAGGACAAGAMTTAGGAGCACCCATATTTTCGATTGCGGTTTTACAGGTTAGCCTTTTCTTTTAACCTCTGACCATTAAGGCAATATTAACTCYCAAATAATTAGTTAATAATCTAGTTCTTTATTTTAGCCAAAGCTGTACAAGTGTAGTATAAAAAACCTCTCTTCAAACAGAACCTCTTGACCCTACAGGCCATGATTTCTCTTGAACTCTGATCTGGAATAGCTTTTTAKACAACCTCTGGCTGAGCTTTTCATTAATCTATTAATTAATTATATTAAAAAAACAATCATTACATTTCTGTAACAAGAAATTTTCCTTTTTAAAGATATTAAAGTGTGTATTGATCYTACTGTGAACTTGAATATTGTCCTGAAATGTAATTTTTAACTATACAGTGTTAAAACGTTGTTATTTTTTCTCTCGTAAGTTTTTTTTACCCTGTGTGAAATGAACCTGTCTGCAGCAGTGACCCCGAAATGTTCATTTTGACTGGTTATAACATCAGCTGACGGAGAGAGTTCAGCTTTACTTCTTGATGTGTGAGGATCTGTGTGTATTTTGTGTGCTTTATGTGTGGTACTCTGCCTCCATCTTGTGTCCTCTTCGTGCCATTTCACACKTGTCTTTACTTATCATTAGCTCTGCTGTTTCCACTTCCACTCATCCCTGCTCTGTATTTAACCAGCCTCTCTTCACCACTTCAGAGTCCGGTCATTGTTTGGTTCTGCCTCTTGTTCTGCTCTTTGTATTTTTTTGCCTGGATTCTCAGTTTTTGTAGTTTTTGCCACCACGTTGGCTTTTTTGTTTAATAAAACCTTTTTTATCTTTGATCCTGCTTGCCTYCCTGCATTTGGGTCCAATCTCACCACAGACCTGATACTTGAAGCCTGAAGACTAGGCATGGGCTGGTTACTAGTTTCACAGTATATTGTGATATATAAGTCATGCTTTCAAAACCACAAAAGTTTTCTGTCATAACGTTCCTACGGTATGTGAGGGAAACTTGTGAGGGGCTGGCAAAAAAGCAGAAGTTAGTCTTCCTGCACTGAGGAAAATGAATCACTGAATTGCACGGGGTAATCGGTTTTYGAGTTGCTTCTGGTTTGGGGGAGTTGAAGGGTGGGGTGGAGGTGAGCATGATTACATTTGTTAAATATAGGTATATTTTTTAATTAATTTATTTCTGATGTTTTTATTGCTTATCAGTAATGTTTGTTGTTTGGTGGAAATGCAGATGTCGGGTTGCCCTATCGCTGGATTGGGTGCAATGTGTCAGATGTTTTTCAGGGGATGTGGAGACCTGCAGTTCTTTGGTTGGTTTCTGGGGTGATCATGTGGAATATCTCAAATCTACTTAATACTGCAATCACAAATTTTTATTGGATGTTTAGTTGTATAACCTTTTAACTATGTTTGGAGAGTGGGTTTGGGTGTTTGTGTATTTTTATTATTAATTGCAAAATGTTTTATTTTATATTATTTTTATTTTTCTGTTATTTTGTTTTCTTATTTTTATTACTGTTGGATTTTGTTTTGTTTTTATTATCTGGAGGACTACAGATGTAAACTWGCATTAGGCTAAATCTGGTGCAATGCATCAAATGTTTTTATGTTTATGTTTTAATTGCACACTGTCCTCGTAACTAAATTCATTCATTCGTTCAGTAAGATTGGTGAACTTAATTTGCTTTTTGAAATGCATTGTGCTGGTTCTGTTTACATCGCGCACAGAGCTGCCTTGCTTTAAGCTCTGACAGGAATCAAAAATATTTCAAACGCCCAAATCTTATTTCATTGGACTTGTGAGACAACAATAACGGACTACACTAAACTTGAGGGCAGGACAACAGAGGATGGTAAGCTAATGATGTTCAGCATTCCACCTAGAGACCATGCCCCCCTCCGAGAAACTCACTTCATGTAGTCATTCATTTAAATAAAKCCAGATCASATCAAGAGCTATTTCTGTGGTCTGTCCTCCACATTCATCTCTCTTATGAAACACAGAAAATGAGGTTTATATTCAGTCATCGACGCTGAAACAAACACACACAGTGTGTAAGTCTCAAAAGCTCAAAAGACTTACAAATTCTGGTGTAATTGGTCAGGTGCAACTTTGACTTTTTTACTTTACTGTTTTAAGTGACTTATTTAAGTTTTTTTCCTTTTCATGATACATTTGACTGTTTTGACTTTGAATACTCAGAAGTGACTTKTAGTCCTGAAAATACTGTAGCAGAAGTGTCTCCAGATTAAGAAATGTTAACTGTAGTGACTCTTCTGACCTGAAAGCAGGAAAGCTGGTCAGAGGTCTCCTGCAGTGTGGACCAGCAGTCTGTTCCCTGGGGGCCTCAGGGCTGGGGGACCTTCCAGTGGAGGAGCCTCCCTCCAGGGCTTGAGCCCCTTTCTCTCGAACCTTCATCTTGAGTTCTGCCACTAGTTGGTCAAAGTTCTTGGTGCGGCCCACCACCTTCCTGCGCTGGTGGATGGAATGGATCTGACAAAGYGGACAAGGATCAGTCAGCCTTTGATTTATTTTATTTTTTTCTTAAACAATTACACCAAAAAAAATCATAAACAGATCCAATTATGCAGTCCTCTGTTGTTGTTGGTCATGCTGGCAAAGACCATATGCAATCACAGCTTTCCTCAGGTGGTGCAGAAATAAAGGTAGGTCCTTACAACTGTTCCACAAGAGGTTTTACAGACCTGTAATTACTGACATAGTTTAATCATCCAGTTATTCATGGCACKCTGTTTATCAGCAGATAGAATGATTACAGCCAGAACAAGATGTTAACAGCAGTCACTCTTAGTTATCACTTGTATTTACCACTTTTTCTCTTGACCCAAGGCCCTTAGGATGAAATCAAGCTTTATTAAGCTGATATAACAGTGTTTGTTAATCACTATATACAGGAGGCCCTCACACTTCCTCAGAGGAGGTGAGCACATATTTTGACAGACAGCCTGATGACTCTGTTTTCATATTTATTGCAATAAATAAACTCAGACAACATTCCTGCTAAGTGACTTTATGTTTCATATAACAAAATTGTTTCTAGAGTTGGTAGCGCAACTGTGTTTACTGCATGACCCGTCTTAACTGCCCCCTCCCCACTTCCCTGAATGTACAGCACCTTGTGAATTTATTTCTGTTAAAGGCGCTATATAAATAAAACTTTACTTACTTACTTAATTGTGCCACTCATGGTGGCAGCATGCTAAAACAGCTCTGTTACTTTCATTCTGAAATACAGCTTTTAAACAATATTTCTTCTTTTTTAGGCATAAAAATTGCAAGTTTTTGGATAATTATTCCCTCTATCAGATGCTGTGCAGCTGGAAGGATTTTTGCTGAAAGTTTTTAATACTTTTGTGCATTTGTTTTGAAGCTTAACCATAGTAACATGGTGGTTTGTTATAACCAAGAGCAGCTGATTAATATCTCAAAAGCTCAAATAATGCCTTAAAGCTGCTGTATGTAGTTTCTTGGGAACCCAAAAACTTAGAAAAATTTTGAACAGAAACAACCTTGTAGTCCCTCCCC